GCCTTCCATCCCTCCGGGGTCGGTTAATTAGTACCAGGCTCGTCTGGAAGGATAAAAACGCTTACTTGTACATCGGCGGCCGCCACAAGTCATTGTATAGGCCACATACGCACTTATTACGCCACTAGGATTCTGAATGGTAGTCGAGTGCGGGTGCGCATCCTTCAGACAGGACTGATTACCGCCAAAAACTTTATCCCTACTTGGGATGTGCCTACATATTCTAATTAAATCCTGAGCTGGAGAGAAACTTGGCTGCCTTGGATGGGTATCAGTCTGGGATTAGGCTCATTGGCCATTCATGTAAAAGCAGTAGCACGGCTCTTACTCTCTTTCAAAGATGATCCTGACTTCACTCTATTTTAACCAGAAATAAAATTGTTGGCGTACTTGGGATTCGATGTCGGCTCGACTCTGTTTGATTCCGAGGTCCTCTGACTTGTCGCCAGTAAAGCTCTCCTTAGGCAGAAGACGTATTTGGTAGATTTTCGATTTTTCGCTTCCGTGATAGAGAAGAACGACCTTTTAGCTTGAGTCACCGCCGCTACATATGACTACGCTTTCCCTATAAGACTGGATCTTCCTGTTTTCTAATCCTGCTGTCCCTCATGATATTCACTTTTTTCTATTTTTTCCTATTACATGAAAATTTTATTCATGCATTTCCCATCGGTTACATCTTTAGGATGTTTCCGAGTTCGCTTTCGAACTTTCTTCGGGTCACGCGTTATGGTTGTAAAAGAGCTTGTCTGGTAAAGGGCAGAACATTCATGGTACACATTCCCCCATTTATAGTACTCTTTCTTCAGAAGTTGTTGATGGAAATGGAACATAACTCCATAATCCTCGTAGTGATCTCATCTATCATTAGGAGGTGTGCAGAAGTGTAAGAGTAGTGGTGCGCAAAGGCCATCACGGTTAGATTGCCCCAGAAGAATTTGTTGGTTCAACCCCCTTTCCTGATATGTCCTAGAGAACTGTTTCATCGTAGTGGCCTAATTGGTAAGGTGCTAACTAAAAGAATATTTGCGCGGTACTGGAGTAGGATATCTTCAAAGCAATAGTGCTCCTGAAGTTTGCAGATAGACTGGCTGAAGGTTACTCGAGGAGTTGATTGACCCAGCCAGACCTGATTAAAAACTGTTACTAAATGCAGAGCATGATTCGAGTAACGTCAATACAGCGTAGCTTTCCCTGACATAGAAAATTACAGAACAACATCGAGGGGTCGGTATATTTCCGACGTGTTCGACAGAACCCAGCAGATACGATGCTGATCGTCTTAGTGAATTTCAAATAAAGAAGGTACCACTCAATATAATTTTGATCAACTCAAATAGTCGCAAACATTGTTTCAGGAAGTTGATACATTTGCTTACAATTTCGATACGTATCCATTTCCCGAATTTTGCGACGATGAGAGTAAGTTTCTCAAGCGTCGTGGACCTCGAACGACCATAAAGCAGAATCAGGTAAGAAAATAACTCATGTGAAGCCAATCCCGTGAAATGGGGTGAATTTTGGAATGGAGGAAAGGTTTCTAAAAGGGAATCTATTCAAGTCAATGTTGCTGCTTCGTGTATGTGTGGCCCAGCGAATTAAGCAGCTCAACATAACATTCGTGGCTGACTGAAAAGGGAATACGGGGCATTCAGAGCTACTTGATTTGGGCCTACAGCTGATGCACTTTCTTTATTCCATTTTTGAGCTGTAATGGTTCAAAGTTGGGCCTTTGTTGAATGAGCTTGGGCTCTGGAAAAAAAAAGGTTTCTAATCAGGTTTCTAGTGTAAACTGGTAATCTTGTCGTAGGAGTGCTCTCTGCTTTTTATTTACTCTGTTTTCCTGTCGTAGAATTACATTGGTAGGAACTCTCATGCGGATCTTTTTGACTCATCACTTATTTCAGCTCGACGTATTGAATCGAATTTTCTCGTCAACCCCGAAGCCGTCGAAGCATGCTCGGGCGAAATTAGCTCTCGAAACGGGGCTCAGTATGAGGGTAATTCAGGTGATCATTTATTACTTCAGTGGTCTTACCATAGGATGAGCCATATATTTGACTTCCTATTGAAATTCCAAACTCTATTCATATCAGATCTACATATATATTCAGTGTTCTGATCAAACTCATCGTTGGCTAGCTCTGTTATGCCTTTTCGGATTGGTAAAGTAGAGCCGATTGAAAAGGGATACTCCTTAGGTAGTGCATTGCTGGTTGAACTTCCTCAGCAAGGATATTGGGCACCATATAGAACCTATATCGTTGTGCAAAGACGGAAAGCAGTGTTTGCAGCTACCTCATGACTTTTTTACATTCTTGAGACTATGTTAAGCCTAGACTTCGGCAGTATACAATCCTGATGCGTTTCCTACGAGCTGATGGGTCAAGTCCGGCAAGGTGGAACCCCAACTTTATCTTCGTGCTATTGGACGAATGTTGACCACGAAATGCATCAAGTCCGTAAATAAAAACTGGTCCACAACTGCAGCAGTCGATTCAGTTTTGAAGGAAGTCCTTTGCTTGAGAGAGCGGTAACCCAATTATCTTCAGTGACAGTAACTTAGTCATTAGATCGAATGGTTGGGACCATTCTTGCGTTGTCAGAATGCATTATGCAAAGTCATACACTAAGATTGGAGAGTGTTCTCCATCATTCTACTCGACTGTGCTTCTTTCAAAATATCGCCTCATTTATTGAGGAGTATGTAGACTTCAGTTGAGAATTAATTCAGGAGGTATAGAACATATTGGGTCTTAGAAGTGCTCTGAACTCTAGATTAACCTCCTTGTCTATCAGTCTCAGCGAAACGTCAACAAATCTGCTTGTGTGGGGAAAACGCTCTCGATTATTTGGTGGCTCATGAAAATTATTGCTCATAACAAACAGATTCACTTACGCCTAAGGCTTCTCTCTATAATATCAAGAGAATGACAAATGCATGGCGCATTCCACAATAGATTTGTGATACACACTTCATCCTTTATCCTCAACAACTTTATAAATCAAATATGATTATCTTATATTTTTTTGTAGGTGTGGTTTCAAAATCGTCGCAGTAAAGAACGTCGATTAAAGCATCTGTGCAACTACCTACGGCATTACGAGCAACGTGGCCTTCTACCTCCACCGATTCAGTTCCCGACTAGTGGTATGGTATTTTTGGGACCCATTACCTTCTTAAACATTTTGCGTTGACTTTCAGAAGGTGGCAACTCATCAGATGCAGCATCGTTTACTCAGTACTTGAACGGCATAGAGGGTCAATTCGATGAGGACGATGAGGAGGACTGAACTTGGTCAGGAAGACAGTGTTTCAGTGAAAAGCACAACCAGAGACTCAGAATTGAGACCTACTCATGGAATTCCGTTTCTACGATTTTATTCAAAAATATTTTTGATAATAAAGCAATATATGTAACCCGAATGCAATTTTACGAATGGGGAAACGAGGAGCAGTATGTGTTTGGCTTTTCCGCAGTTCCTAGCAGAAGGACTGAACAGAGTCGTCGCTAACTAAGTTTGTGCCAAGGAGCAGGAGGGGTCGGTAGGCAATTTTTGTAGGAAAACTGTATACATTGCTCCGTTCTGCTGTATTTTTCTAAGTTTTCTGCTCAAATTCATGGGAAAGGCCTCCGATACCTTTCTTGGTAAGTAGCTATGAACCACTTTCCCAGTAGAAATCAACTAATAACAAATGCATTGTAGGTGCACCTTACCGACTGACATACATCGATTCTGAACCCCTCNTTCCTAGCAGAAGGACTGAACAGAGTCGTCGTTAACTAAGCTTGTGCCAAGGAGCAGGAGGGGTCGGTAGGCAATTTTCGTAGGAAAACTGTATACATTGCTCCGTTCTGCTGTATTTTTCTAAGTTTTCTGCTCAAATTCTTGGGAAAGGCCTCCGATGCCTTTCTTGGTAAGTAGCTATGAACCGCTCTCCCAGTAGAAATCAACTAATAACAAATGCATTGTAGGTGCACCTTACCGACTGACATACATCGATTCTGAACCCCTCACTCTTGCCTCCATTCTGGTTTCGTGCAGAGATGGTGTAGAGGCTAGGCGCACCTCAGCACTTACACTAGCCATGGGGTCTAAACCGGTCTAGGAAAGATAAGCCTGCAGATGCTAGATGACGATTAACTGGGACCAAATCTACTTCCGAGCGCTAAATTGACAGCTGGAATACACCAAAGCATGTGCTTCTAATATGTCTGAGAATTTTGATGCGTGAATGATTCATTCTGCTTATACATCTTTCAAAAAAACCGTAGAAGATTATAGATATCTTCCTGATCCTTCCCTAATAAGGATTAGTTATAAGAAGTTATCGCTAGTTGAATCACCAGTGAAAAAGCGTAGATCACGAGCCAAGTACGGTCCTCCTTCCATATCCTGAACAGAACACATGCTCACTGTGGTTCCTTCAACCGGTATTGCTCAAAGAGCTCACCTTCAAATCGATCAGAAACGTATCAGAAATCGTCATCCCTTGATCGATGTCTATCCTTACTATTTGACCTCCTTTGCTGAAAGGAATATTTTTGTTGAAGGGACAACTACAAACAAATCTTGATTGTGCTTAATACTCGCCGGATACAGTTCGTTACGCCATGAACTCGTCCAAAAGCTTTTTCTCGTAGCCTTTACCCCACTTAAAATGCACTTGCGTGAAGAGCGCTTCATTTTTTCGATTTTTCGCTTCCATCTAGGATGTTGATCAGCATCTACGCTTTAACTCCTACCTTTCTGATTTCTAGGGATGTTATGATGTCTCCTACTTCTTCCTTGTAGTCGTGTTAGAACCCTCCAACTCGAAAGGTAAAGAATCCTGACACGATTACCCGCCCCGCGGGAGCAACAACCCACTTTTGACGATGTAAAGCATCTCATCCCTACCCATTAGTCAACGTCTCCTGAACCCATCGTAGACAGTACCGCTGTGGCCCCTTTAAAGACTCAAAAAGTACTCACGCGATGAGATCAGGGTAGAATTGAGCATCCCACTGCTTGTAGAACGAGTTACTGACATATAATCGTTTTCCGTCGAGGCTTAGTTGCAGAAATGCTGGCCCGCCACGGAAGACCGTGCCACGGACAGTAGTCGCTGCCTCTGGTCGGTGTCCACCATTGATGAAAGCGAATTTGTGAGACTTATCCTTCAAATAGTTTTTAACTGCTGATTAAAACTGTAAAGTCTTCAGTGTGAACATTTCCTCTTTTTCATAATCTGGAAGCGTTGTTTTGATGATTTTAGAAATTAGGGTCGTAGGTCCAATGCGGAGTTTTTGTGCGATGCCTGCTCGTGAGCGGAAGCTATTCCTGCCACCTATAATCAGTTTTCCCATCTTGCTTCCTGTACACCTACTAAATTTGAACTCATTAGGTCCGCGCGAACAGGAATTACGAATTTCCGCTTACCCCGCCCCCTGTAGGCGGAGTCTATCCCGCTACCCGCCATAAGTGTTCCCATCCTGCCGCCTGTACTCCCATTAAATTTGAACTCTGTAGGTCGTAGGTAGGTGGGAATTGGGATTTTGAATTTCCCGTCAAACACACACACACAAGCACACACATACATACATATGCACACGCACATACACACACATACACAAACCAACAGACACACTCAGCGCGTTAAATATAGTAGAATTCATGAACGAACCCCTTTAAATGCAGCTGGCATTTTGATTGTTGCATCTATGGCACCTCCCAATAGACCACCGAGGGTCACCTGAATGAGCAGAAATCAGTGAGCTAATCTTGAATTAGGGTTCAGGAATGAGGGCAGTTCTTACCATATTCAATACAGTAGTCCGGAATGGATCGGAAATATCCAGCTGCCATATACATCCATGTAACCATCCTGCCACATATGCGAATCTATCGTTCATAGATATGACGAGATCAGTGAGAAGAGCCGGCATCTCAGACGCAAGCCAATCTTCAACCTAAACGCTTACTATTCTGAGCCAAGAATACAGGCAAGATTGCAACCAGAACCAGGTAGATTTCCGAGAGAAAAGGCGGAGGTGGTACAATGCTAGAGTCAGTCATGTTTTGCGACATAGGGGATTATGGTGGCTCATTTAAAGAGGTAGAATCTCCGACTCAGTTGTGTAGCAGGTGAAAGCCTATGATTGAGTTTTTATTTTTCATCTTGGAACCCAGATTATCGCCAGAACTAAGCTCAGAGGGAAACCTACATTCTTCCTTTGCTAGAAAAAAAAATTCACAAACTGACCTGTAATGTCTCAACGTGAAAGACTTTATCGGCGCTCCATTTCCCATTTGTTGAGTTCATGTGAAGGTGAAAGACGGTCGAGCCGATTGCCGAACAAGCGAATGCATGATTACATTCTGGATTGTGTAGAAAGCTACAATATAGATCTATAAATAGTTATACAGCTCTTCTCGAGATCAGAATCAACGTAAGTGGTGCAGTGGGGCTGTCTCTGCATGGTCACGGGTTCGAATCCCGATTGATATTCACCCAGGCCAACCATGCATTTCATTTCTCCGGGATTATTCAACTGATACCAGACTCGTGTGGGAGGATAAAAGCACTGATTTGTACATCGGCTGGCCACCGCCATTCATTGTATAGGCCACACACACATTCAATACGCCACTACAGTTCTCGAATGTGGGAGCATCCCCAGACGGCATTCATCAATGCCCAAAGACTTTAAGACTTCAATGATGGATAAGGAATTGATAGAAGACGCTCATGATAGAACTGACCGTACAGTTGTAGTGAGACATCCTTCAAATGGACCAAGCTCGATGCTTTCTTTTAATATACCAGGAGAAATCTGCCATACATGAAGTTGACTGCCAAAAGACTCCGACACTGAAAAAAAAACGAACTTGAGTTTAGTTTGAGCCAAAAAAACCTTTAGTAGTTTGGAGTATGTGCTTCAGATGTAACAGGAACGGAACGTTTACAGATTCCCTATGTAATCCGTAAACGAGAGGTGGAGTGCCCGGGAAAGACACTATGCTCTATCCTATGGGTCAAAACCTTGAAGCGAAATCCACCCTTTGAGCATTTTGAGGACATTGAAAAAAGGGACAGTGGCAGAAGTAGGTACATGCCTTTGGATAGCATTCTTGCAGAAGTTAGAAATTCCACGCGATCATTAAAGAAAAACAATTCATGCCAGAAAAACCAACCAAATGTTCATTCATCCAACCTATAGGATCGCGAAACCCACCATTCTCAATGTCGCTAAGAGTGAAGCCACTGCGGAAGAGTCGCGGATGTCCCCATTCACATGCAATCAACAAATTTCGTCTCGTCTGAAACGAGAAGTCACCACCGAAACCGCAGAATCCACTACGATTGTGACGTTCACGAATCTCGAACGAATCCCGATCAATCAATAAAAAGTCGCCTGAAAAGCTTTATGTCTGTAAAGCATTTCATTTGGAGCACTATAATCCTACGGTCGAGCCGTCATCAGGTATAACTGATACACGGGACCTTCATCAGGGGGACACGTCCTTGCTAGCATGCTGCAAAGGCACCATACGCAACCTCATTGCTATTGGCGAGATTACAAGCCTGCCTGGAGTATGTACTGTTGTCAGCGCGTGAGCTTTCCGCACTTATCAAGCGGCCAATGCGGAGATTTTTGTCGTAAAGTAACTTTACTTATTCATTGTTGAAGCTTACAGTGAGGCCAAAAACAAGGCAGATCTTGAAGTCCCGTGAATGCGTGATAGAGTAACCCGAAGACACACTCAAGAGCCTCCAGTCACCCGTCGCATATACAGCGCCCAAGGAGGTACCTTGGACGAGGCCCAGATAGTGGGTGGAGGAGCATCATGAGATACTGTATTACACATTCCAGGAGCCTCCGTTCAAGCAATGGCCGCTGCTGCGTCCGTAAAACTGCCCTCAACTCTCTCTCTCTCTCTCTCTCTCTCTCTCTCTCTCTCTCTCTCTCTCTC